CGTGCGTGCGTGCGTGCGTGCGTGCGTGCAAGTGGTTGCTGAGCGTGCGCGCGAGTGTTGTGTGAGTGTATGTGCGTGTCCGTATATACGTGCGTACTTACGGACCTACGCCGTGAACATATACACTCTCTGATCGCAAATTGCAGTATGGCGCCCGCAACCTTTACCGGTTGATTGCCGCTTGTCGGATTCCTGCTTTGTTGTTATCGGTCATTACTGGTGCTTTACCGTTGTCACGCCCGCTGATGTCTACCCACACACTCACCAAACACCAGGTATCAACTAACCCAACATAATATACTCATCACGTGTTAAAGCCATTGTATGCCATCGCCAGCAAGCGTCACTAATGAACGAAAAATCGAAATCGCTGTGTAATAAACCGAAATCGCTCGTCATTGTCGTATTGATCGCAGTAATTAAGCAGATTAAGTCAACTAGTTACTTCGTTTAACAGAAAAGGGGCCCATTGTCAGAAACAATATTAGTCTTAACGTTATAGTTTTCGCATTCATTTTTTCTGGTAGACCTTTAACAGAGTTTTCTTTCGTAATGTTCTGAAGGAAAATTTGCTACGGTTTATCATTCTCGTAACTTTACGATGTTTCTGTCAACGGTCTACAAGAAAAGATTAATGTTAAGATCAATTTTTGTTTCTGACAACTGGCCCCCAGGACTGCCATGTTTCGTAACTGTGCTCAACTGTGTTAAAGGCGTCTATAAGAGTGCCACTGGCGCTGAAAGGGTCGTTGTCGTATCAGGTAATACATATATGTACCCGAGGTACGTATATGTATATCAGACCTGTATCTTCTCAGCATATATGTACCCTGTGTTTAGGGTTAGGGCTAGGGTTAGAGGGTTAGGGTACACTTCTGTAGTACAAGTCTGGTACACTTTGTGTATACATATATGTACCTCGGGTACATATACGTAGTACCTGATACGACAACGACCCCTTCAGCACCACTGACCACCTCGGATTATCTCTTATCCGCTTTAGCGAGTAGGCCCTATGGAAGGATGTAGGGCATGTTTGAGTTGTTCTACGTTAAAACCGGTTAGGCTGTGCGTCTACGTGCGTACGGGCGGGCGGTAGGTATGCCGTGTTTCTGACAGGAATTGCAAGAAAATTGGCTATGCACAGTAAATGTGATGAATCGCGAAGTGTATATGGTAATGCATAGTAACGCATGCATTGCCATTTGCATAGACATGTACAGAATGCTCAAAATCAGAGGCTGATTCATTAATATGGTACGTTTGGCTATATGCGAGCAAAATTAACCAAATCTACAGTGAAACCTCAGGTACGCGCGCACAGACGCACACACGGACGCACTTACGCACACACACGCACACGCACGCATGCGCACGCAAGCACGCACGCACGCAAGCGCACACACACACACTTGTCTGTAAGCGTAAGCGTAAATTGCACGACAGCACGGGTATTGCTGACGTCTTAATTTAAATACAATACTTGCGTTGCTGCTACTGCAATGCGAAGCTTGGCGCCATTTTTACCATCCTTACCATTACATATCCATATCCATTACATATCCATTTATCCATCCTTACATTTTTACCACCCTTACTTGGGAATGTCTATATTCAAGTCGGTACGGGAGATTACGGTATGCATATATTTGCTAATATATTGACAAATCGTGCGTAAATAAACTCAATATTCACAGAGAGTATAGCTAAGACATGTGTCTATAGGTATCTAGAATTTTAGAAATTTAATTATCTGTAATTCACTTCCGCGCGCATATATTTGGCATTTGCTAATATATTGACTAATCGTGCGTCAATAAACTCAATATTCACAGATTCAAGCAGGTACGGGAGATCATTTGCATAATATATTCTAAATACCTATAGACGCATGTCTTAGCTATACTATCTGTGAATATTGAGTTTATTGACGCACGATTAGTCAATATATTAGCAAATATATGCGTACCGTAATCTCCCGTACCGGCTTGAATATAGACACACCCTAATTACTTGTGTCTGCATCCCTGCAGGCAGCGCCCCCTATAATTACATGCTTTCTGGAGCTACCGCCCCCGGCATTAAACCATATAATCACCGTCCGCTACTAACCACGTCCTCTATCAACCACCCTGCAAACACCACCCTGTATTGACCGCTTGTACCAATCACGCGTTTATCCGGTTACAGCCCTATAGACCGAAGGTCCGATAGACCGAAGGCCCGATAGATCAAAGGTTTATTCGAATACGCAGTGGCTATACACGTCCGGAATCGGTCGCCTAGCCTCCAGGCTACGCAACCCTAACCCTAACCCTAACCCTAATCCTAACCCTAACCCTAACCTTAACCCTAACCTTAACCCTAACCCTAACCATAACCATAACCCTAACCCTAACCCTAGCCCTAACCTTGACCCTAACCTTAACCCTAACCCTAACCCTAACTCTAACCCTAACCCTTTGCAATATTCGGTCTATCGGACCTTCGGTCCATAGGGATGACCCCGTTTATCCATTCCCTACACTCACCGTGCCTGTATAGACTCCCTGTACCCACCGTGCCTGTATCCACTCCCTGCACCCACCGTGCCTGTATACACTCCCTGCACCCACCGTGCCTGTATCCACTCCCTACACCCACCATGCCTGTGTTGACTCCCTATCTCCACCATGCCTGTGTTGACTCCCTATCTCCACGTTCCTGTATACACTCCCTACACCCACCGTGCCTGTATACCCTCCCTACACCCACCGTGCCTGTATCCACTCCCTGCACCCACGTGCCTGTATACACTCCCTGCACCCACCGTGCCTGTATCCACTCCCTGCACCCACCGTGCCTGTATCCACTCCCTGCACCCACCGTGCCTGTATCTACTCCCTGCACTCACCGTGCCTGTACCCACTCCCTGCACCCACCGTGCCTGTACCCACTCCATATCTCCACCAGCCTGTATCCACCCCTGCACCCACCCATCGCATGCAGCCACCCTGCTATACCAAGCGCTTCCGTTGCCCACTCCTCTGTAGCAGCCACCCTGCATCCACCATCCTACATCGACCTACTGCAGCCACTCTGCACCAAGCGTCCCCTGCACCCACTCCCTTCTATCAACTACCTTTCATCCAACACCATAAAGCCACCTACTGCATCCAATCAACCTCACGCACCCCTCCTCTGCATCCACCACCCTGCATCTACCTACTGCCACCTCCCCATGCCCCTACTCCCTTCTATCAACCACCTTGCACCACTCCCCTGCATCTACCACCCTTGCATCCACCGTCTTTACCAAACGTCCCCTGCACCCACTCCCTTCTATTAACCACCTTGCACCACTCCCCTGCATCCACCACCCTTGCATCCACCGATTGCAGCCACCCCCATTTACCAAGCGTCCCCTGCACCCACTCCCTTCTATCAACCACCTTGCACCCCTCCCCTGCATCCACCACCCTTGCATCCACCGATTGCAGCCACCGTCTTTACCAAACGTCCCCTGCACCCACTCTCTTCTATCAACCACCTTGCACCACTCCCCTGCATCCACCACCCTTGCATCCACCGATTGCAGCCACCGTCTTTACCAAACGTCCCCTGCACCCACTCTCTTCTATCAACCACCTTGCACCACTTCCCTGCATCCACCACCCTTGCATCCACCGACTGCAGCCACCGTCTTTACCAAGCGTCCCCTGCACCCACTCTCTTCTATCAACCACCTTGCACCACTCCCCTGCATCCACCACCCTTGCATCCACCGATTGCAGCCATCCCCGTTTACCAAGCGTCCCCTGCACCCACTCCCTTCTGTTAACCACCTTGCAACACTCCCCTACATCAACCACCCTTGCATCCACCGATTGCAGCCACCCCTTTTACCAAACGTCCCCTGCACCCACTCTCTTCTATCAACCACCTTGCACCACTCCCCTGCATCCACCACCCTTGCATCCACCGATTGCAGCCATCCCCGTTTACC